GCGCACTTTATTATTTCAAAATAGAGGAAATGATATTCCAGGTAGACGCGAGTGAGGTTGGCAAATTATTCCACACCATCGGTCCAGCAACAGCAAAATTTCTTTTACCAGTCACCAAACGGGTTTGAGGAACGTCCAGCAAATTCCTATTATTGGATCTCAATCCTGGATAACCAGACGTTGAATCACGTTTAGTCAATCTACCGACCAAGTACGGAGGAGCACGCCCATTTAAAACTTTGAACATCAATCTTGTAGATAATTCTCTTTTCAATCGGAAGCCAGTGCAGATCCCGTAAAATCGGCGTCACATGATCAGATCTAAAACCTCCGACAACTAGCTTGGCCAAGCGATTTTGAATTGACTGTAGTTTGGAAATTTCCAACATGGAGACACCGTAAAAAAGGCTGTTGCAATAGTCCAGCCTCGAGTGAATAAACACGTGAGCCAAACTCTTTAGGGTAATCTCATTAAGTGAATTTTTATAGCCCTCATCATGCAAAGTTGTCGATGACATTCACCAGTTAGCGACTTTATGTGGCACTCCATTGTCATATTACCATCGAATACAACCCCAAGATTACGAGCAACTTGACATAATTCAATCTTACTGTTGTTAATCTCAATGGAAGTGAAATTTAATTTGTTTATTTGCTGCCACGTACCAATTGGCAATAACTGGGTTTTGCATTGATTCAATTTGAGTTTGTGCTTGATCATCCAAGAATCAATCGCCTCCATGCACCGACCAAATCTTTCAACAAGAGCTTGAAATGAAGTAGCTGGACCACTGACAATGATTTGTATGTCAACTGCAAACCCATGATGCTTGAACCTGAATGAATCAATGATGTCGAAAACGTCAGCAGTGTATAGCAAAAACAGCAGCGGTCCAAGTACTGAGCCTTGCTTTACTTCCTGAACAGATGATAAAACATCTCTGCGTAATACCTGTTGTTTTCGCGCAGAGAGATATGATTCGAACCAAATAAGAACAACACCTGAGATTCCAAAACATTGACGTAGCTTTCCAAGTAAAATCTCGTGATTAACACAATCAAAGGCTGCACTAATATCAAGTAATGCCAAGATTGACATATTTTGATCATCAATAGCAGCAAACAACTCAGATGAAACATCTATCAGTGCAGTCTCAGTTGAATGAAATTTTTTAAATCCTGACTGACATTTTGGTAGCAGATCGTTATGATTTAAATGACAAATTAGCTGTTTGTGGAAAATTCGTTCAATAACTTTCGACAAAAATGTTAGATTTGACACCGGTCTATAACTCGATAAACTATTCTTGTTTAGTGTCTGCTTTTTTAACATCGGAACAACAATTGAATATTTAAAAGCCATCGGGAAATGCCCATAAGTTAAACATGCATTTACAAAAACAGTCAAAAACGGGAGAAACAGATGAATGTATTTTTTAAGTATTTTAGTTGGCAAATCATCCAGTGGGCACGACTTTGTAGGTTAATCCAAAATAACTTGACGAATCTCATCACTGGAACAGCACTGAAATAATGAAAGTTCAGCACATTCACTCATCCGATTGTTTGAAACAATAGGCTCTTTGATACAAGGCATCGTCTCCAGTATGTTGTCAACCTTATCTTTAAAAAATTGAACTAAATCATCAGAATTTAACTCATCTGACATATTAAGCAAGCGAATCAACAGAATTCATCTTGCATAAAACCCTGAATTATAAATAACGCTTAATATAATTAAACTTAATTAAATATTGTCAACATCTTTCTAGCCATGCACAGCTTTAAATCCTATTATTGTTATAGGTGGTTGCAGTGATTGAATTCAAATGCAGAGATTTATATGACGAAAAAAGTTATTTTCTGATAATAGGCAGCAAGATAGCGAATGGTTAAAGGCGCATGGTCCTGCTGTTGCAGAGACTGGGTTCATATGCAGTGTGTGTGATGAGTAGTTTTCACACGTATTTATAATATATGCTGTGTGTTTTTATCGTTGAAATCTCTGAAGCAGGTGCCCAAGATCTTTAATCTACTGTTATTGAATTAATTATGACAGTTATTTAATGACAATTTGCACAAGTCATTCATCCTAAAGATGGATCGAGTTACTTTCAGGAAAAACTGGAAACCAGGAAATACACATACATTGTATTGTATATATATATATATTATATTGTATATATATATATATATATTTAGGAACGAGGTTTTCATTAATACATATTTTGTTAAATTTATTTGCCCATTTTGCATTTATCAACATTTTTATTATGGACTCAACACAGCCTAGTTTTTGACATTCATATTTATTGTGAAATTGTGACATATTAGAAGCTGACAACGTTGTTTCGGCTAGGTAGCCATCATCAGAGCCTAAAACCAATGAAATATAAGAAATTTAGTTAAAATAAATGAGAATTAAACGAATTATGTAAATTATTTGGCGGACATGATAGATAAGATATTAAAAATAAAATTGGAATTGAAAGTGAAGTTAAAATGGTACCGTGCGAAGGATGTAACCTAAAAGATTAATTTAATACTAAAACATGAAATTAAATAAAAGTTACTAATTAATAAAAGGTAAAATAAATGAAAATAAACTGGAAAGTTGGAAGAATAGGAAATAAACAATACGTGTGTGATGAATGTGGTGTAATCACTAGTATAAAATATTATGGAACGCTAAGTATATTCTACAAATTAAATGCATAACTAAGATTATGTGGTTATAATGTTGGTAAAAGACCATAATTTTTACAATATTCTATAAATTCTACCAAATGTTTGGCGTTCATATGTTTGTAGTTCGTTTTTTCGATTTTTTTTCACTAAAGTTTTTTGGTGAACGTTTAGTTTATTAAAATTCAAAATAAACTTATTTTCCAAATTCATGCTGCAAATAAGGCCATATTTCGATTCCGAATGAATCATCATCAGTGCGGTTAAGTTTATATAGAGAAATATTGACAAAGTCAAAGTGAACTTAGATGGAAATTAGGTGTCAGGTTTCTTTATTGGCTGATCAATCTTCGTTGGTTTCCTTTTCTTCATCGATAGCATCATATTCTTTGTAAGTAAAAAGTAATAAAAACTAGCATTTACAATGCTAGTTTTTATTACTTCTTTGTTTTCATTGTTGATTAAGCGCCGGGTTGAAAGTGAGATTGTCATTTTTTGTTGTATATTTATTTTTGGTTTATTGATGTCAATTAAAACTGCTTCTGCAATTTTGAAGACGCGTGTATTTGCATTCTGGTATATTACTTTGGTGTTGCTGTTGAGGATTTCACGGCTAATAGTGATTGAGTGTGTTGAGTCCACATGAGATTTAATAGCACCACTCTGTTTATGCATCGTAAGCCTTCTAGTCAGTGAGATAGTAGTAATCCCGATATTTGAGTCATGTTGACGTGCACAGCCGTCAAAGGGGCAATTAAATTCATATATTACGTGATTACACTTTAACACAGAGTTATCTCTAGGACTACAGTTGTTTTTCAGTATTAGGTGAGACGTCTTTTTATTGTTGTAATAAATTCGGAGTTTAACTACAATTTGGGTTGGTTGGTGTGACATTTTTATTGATGATATGTTTAAGAATAGCTTCATCTACTTTGTATGCAGTTGACATGTGGTTTCTATAATACAAGATGATGTCGTTATCTTGATTGTTGGTACTAGGAAGGTTATTGTTGTGTAGTAATTTGCCTTTAACAATCTTTTCAACAGAATAAGTCTTATATCTATTGTTTACATTGTTAAAGGCAAATTACTACACAACAATAGCCTCCCTAG